CGCAAAAAAAAAAAAAAAAAAATCCATGATTTTTCGAACCCCTGAATATAGGTTGTTTCTCCCCATCCCTAATTTTGCGACAGCCCTATTAGCTTGTAGTTCGTCCCAGATTTTTTTTCAGCAGTCATTTGAGGAGCGTGGAGAAGGGTGTTCCAGGAAAAAAATGGTGCTTGCTTTTTCTAATCTGAATATTGAACTGAGCTGGCAGCGGTGTTGCTGCTGCTGCTTCTTCTTCCTCCCCCTCTTTTTCTCCTTCTCCCTCTTATCCTTTTCCTCCTTGTTTCAAGTAGTGCCATTGAAGTTAAACTTCCTGTGTAAAGACAACATCTTTTCTTCCAAAGGGAGTCAATGTTGTCACCGCAGTTCACAAATTCACGCAGCCACCTCCACGTAGAACGCAGCACCTGCTAAAACAGTCCCTCAAAGCAAGCCCAGGGAGGCATGTTCTCTGCACTTTCCTTAAAAGGCTAGATTTTGTCTAAGGAAATTTGGAATAGATCTTAAAATAGATGGGAAAGCTCATTTAGAATTAGATTCATTGACCTCCATTTTTCTCTGCATCTCTTGATCTTGACTGTCTTTTTTAAAGAAGAAGCTCTGTTGGGTCCTAGAATCTGTTGCTATCTTTTTACTTTTCTAGACTTTCCTGTTACCAGACTAGGCCAGATTTACACAAATCCCAAATCTCACTTACTTCTGAGACACAACAACTTATTTTTATCCGATAGGATTAAGGCAGATAACACGTATTTATGAGCACCCACCTGGGTGCTTTGATCAGCATCTGAGGGCGGAGGTTATGAAAAAGAAGATAATGTGGAATCTAATGCACAAAATAAACTGTTGAACAAAATAGATCCAGAGACATAGAAGCATGGAACAGTGTTGAATCTCAGAAGGAAGGTGGGGTTGAGTGGATGGGGGGAAGAGATCAACCAAAAAAATTTGTATCCATATATGCATAACCCATGTATATAGACAGCAGGAGGGCGGTGGCGGGCAATAAGGGGTGAATGGGAGAAAAAAAAGGGGGGGGGGAATGTAATACTTTCAACAAAATTTTTAAAGCAAATACATAAAAAAATATAGATTAAAAGAATAGACTTTTGCCTTTCATTCTCTCAGAAGCTAATAACAATTATAATGAAAAAAAACACTGTTTTTAATTATTTAATCCTCACAACAGCCCTATGAAATAAGGTACTATTATTATACTCATTTTATAGATGGGGAACTGAAGCATAGAGATAAGTCACACAGAGAGTAACTGGCAAAGCCAGAACTCAAACTCAAACATTTTGGCTTCAGTACACAGTGTTTAACTAGCTAGATAAAACTGCCCAGTTAAAAAGAGCAAACATAGACTGATTAATATATTTGAAAATAATTGGAAACATCACTCCAGAGCTGTGCACCTAGACCACTTAGATCTCTGGATCTATTTTCTCAGCCATAAAATGAGAGGTCTCTTGTAACTCTTAGTAATTCTTTAGTTCCTGAGAACAAAATAAAAACAGACCAGCCACAATAATCTCAAAACTTATACCACATTTACTTTCTGTATAATTTGTTCTACCCTGTTTTTCATTCCCATTCAACTTTTCATGTATATTATCTCCTCAACCAAGTTCCTCAAGGTCAGGGAACAGTCTTCTACTTATCTCCTTGAACATTCAATACAGTAGTTTAAATAGAGTGTACAGTATTCTTACCAATACTCAAGCCAAATAATTAACTTCAAATTAAATGTGACACAGAAGAGAGCAATCTGATTAAGGTGGAAAGATTGATTTGAGGTGTTCTGGGCTAAGTGAGCTTTTGAACTTGGTCTGGAAGATACTGTGGATAAATACCAATTAAAGGAAAGGAGAAAGGAAACTGACACTATTATCTCCCACATGCCAGTTACTGTATTAAGTGCTTAACCTGTAGTTTAATCCTCATGGATACATCTCTGTGAAGTATATACTATTATCTATTATATCAAAACTAGGGGGCCCAGTGCATGAATTTGTGCACCTTGAACTGTGGGCCTCAAGGCTGCGGTGGGCACAGGGGCAGATCATGGCCCACAGACCCCTGTCTGCCAGAAGCCCCGCTCCCACCACTGCCGCTCTCACCACTGCCGCTCCCACGCACTGACAGCACCGGCCCCGCTCGCATCCGCTGACGGGGTGGAGCGATTGAGGCCAGTGCCAGCAGCAGGTACGAGCGGTGGCTGCTGCCCCAATCGCCCCTCAGGAGCAGGGGGAAGTAGGAAGCCCTCAGGGGCGGTCAGGGCCAGCAGCTGCAGCTCGCACATGCTGAGGGCGCCGAGCAATTGGGCCAGTGCCAGGCGCCAGCAGCAGGTGTGAGTAGGGCCAGTGCCAGCAGCAGGTGTGAGTGCCGGGCAGGACCATGCCATGTGGGAGCAAAGAATTTTCAGTAACCACCAGAGGCTCACCCCGATGACAGTGACCAGCACCCCGCCTTGGTCTGGCGCCCCTACTCACCTGCTCCACCATCCCACCGCAGCCAACACACGCCATGTCCCGCATTCTGCTGCCTGCTGCCACACCCCCTGGTTGTCAGCACACGTCATAGCAACCAGTTGTTCGGTTGTTCCGCCGTTTAGTCTATTTGCATACTAGCCTTTTATTATATAGAATAGATAGTATTATACTACTATTCCCAGTTTTATAAATGAACAGTAAAGATTTTATTAGTAGCAGAGAGATGTGCATGATTTGTTAGGTTTGGAGGAAATTATTTGACCTGTGATATAGCTAAATCATGTCACAGTAAACCCTGTGGTTGCAAATGTGTGGTGCATCCTTAGAGGAATCGAAGTGAAGAGGACCAGTATTAATTAAGGACCTTAATTAGGGCCACAGTTTGTTGGCTACTTAATCATATCATCCAGTTTTCACAATGCACTTATGAAGTGTGTATTACTTTTATTTTATCGATGTGGAAACAGTCTGAACAGGATGTCAACAGAGCCTGCAAAGGGCAGAGCCAGAATCAGATCCTGACTGACCTCAAAACTCAGGTCATGTTCACTACACCAAGTAGCCTATGTTGCCATCTGGTAATCCAATGGAATGTATTAGAAATGCAATTATCAGGCCCTACTCAGCTCTACTGAATGGAGGAGGTGGGCTCAGAAGCAGTGATCTCTTTTCAGTATTTTCTGCATTTAGTTTCCTTACAAATACCCCTTAGTTTGCCTACCTTTCTTTGATTCTTACCTACCTGACTGCCAGCTCCCTCCTTTCCTCTCATTTGTATGTTTCATCTATTATCTCTCTCTCTTTTTTAGTGTTCACTTTTCTTGATTTTTTTTTTTCAAATATCAAGTTGATGCTTTTTTCAGAAATTGGCTTTGGTAAATCTTGTTTGAGAGGGTAGCCTTCTTCTGCATCTTGCGCACTGAGTTTTCCTTTTATATGGTGTAGAATCTTTTCATAAACTTTTGAGGGTTTTTCCCTATTTAATCACCTTTAGATAAGCAGTGTTGTTATGAGTCTTAATCTTTTTTTGAATCATTGAGGAATTTTAATTAGTTGTTGAGAGAAGCTAATGGACATCTAGAAAGATACCTTCTTAAATTGGGACTCAGCCTTTTCACTTTGGAAATCTGTTGTAGTTACTAA